ACTCACACTTGGGTTCATATTACAAACAGCCACACTTGGAACAACACCAAAGACTAAGAGCTGTGCTAAAACACGCAGCTTTACAGTAGCTCACACACAGATTGTGAGTCAAGCGGATGAGGTCAAAGAGGAACCTGGAGAGCTTCAAAACAGTCGACATCCTTTATTTAAATAAATTGGCGTTTCAAAAGCGCCACATTTATTTATTCTTCATATCCAATTATATGAATGTAGCTGGAAATGCAGGGCCTCAGCCTGACCTGTGGTTCTCTAAGCATTACTTTAGGTTCACTCGATCCAAAAAACTCTATTACAGTACAGCCCGGTTTCTCTGCCTGGCACTAACTGAGCCTGTGTTGAATCTTCAAAACGAAATTAAATCCCACACTTTTAACTGATCCTATCCAATTTTCTTAAAAAATACACAGTCAAATAGTAGAAACATCAAGTGGGAAAGGTTACTATCGACTTGGTCCAGTTTGTAATTAAGTTAGTGAAATCATTCAATAAGAGTTTCCATTTGGTGACAAGTAAAGTGGATTTAATGTGAAAAATAATTTTCTTCAGGGGTTTTGGATTGTTCGTATAACCTTTTTCACCTTCTCTCTTGTTCTCCTCTCACATTTCATTTCCTGCTAAACTAGCTTACTACGCACTAAAGTACGTGCATCTGTCCACACACGTGGAAATGTGTGGACGAAATTGAGATCCAAGATCAAACACTGGACGTGTGCTGCTTTAAATAAGCTGTCTGACGAAGCTGAAACCGACACTAAAAAAAACCCAGTTTGAAACAAAAAATGTCCATGCTGGTATATTGAACTGGATGTGCAACTGGCTCACGCTTACACAAATGTACCAATTGTGTGAATTCTCACACCGTGGTAGCAAGTTTTACCCAAAATGCTGACAAGGGCCATCATTTCTGGCACAATATGCTGCTGCTTGTGTTTGTATGTGTGATTTAGAGAGGGTCCCCCATCACTCAAATGTTTTTACTGAAAACCACACACATAAAACACACACAAGTATATGTTAAAAAGTTTGGGTATTCCTTTATGTTCCCTGTCTCTTTACATTGGGCTCCATGACAGTGATCTGGTCAAAGCGTCTTTACAAAGAGTCTGATTGGGGGAAGCTGAAGCCAGTTGCAAAGGTTTAAGTTGACAGTGGAGGGGTGTGTGCGTGTGTGTGTGTGTGTGTGTGTGTGTGTGTGTGTGTGTGTGTGTGTGTGTGTGTGTGTGTGTGTGTGTGTGTGTGTGTGTGTGTGTGTGTGTGTGTGTGTGTGTGTGTGTGTGTGTGTGTGTGTGTGTGTGTGAGTCAGAGGGAGGAGAAATTGTCTGATTGTGTGCCTGAATGTACCTTCTGTGTGTTAGCCCTGACGTCCAAGGGAAAAGCATCCTAAGCTGGAACAAGAGAAGCAGAAGTGAGGATGGAAAGAGACCCACGGAAACAAAGTATCAGGCAAAAAAATAATACTTGAGGTGAAAGTTAATTTGTAGACAAGAAGGTCAAAGACAGGAGAGAGCAAACACTTGTCAGCATATCTCTTCACCACCGACCGCTGTGACAGGCATCTACGGGTTTAACACTATGTGACTGTGTGGTGCTAAAGTCTTCCAACATTATTTCATCACATTTCAACAACTACGTGCAATAGTCCCAACTGACGAAGTCATTCCTGAAATAAGGCTCTGTGAACAAGCTGAACTAAGGCAGAAATCAGTCATACCATATAAGCCTGATATTTCCTGGTGGTACACACGCAGCCAGTTTTTATGCAAGTCTGTGACATTCTCTGAGAACTAAAGCTCCCTGCTGATTAATTGTGTTTGTTTGTGTGTCTGCACATGCAGGCTTTTTATCCACCGAAGGATGTGGACTGACTGACCCTGCTAACATTGTTTGCAAACAATCAGGATAAGGGGAGAAGATTACCCAACAAGCCGTAATCGCTCATGGATTGATACTAAATTTCAGATTTTGTAGATTATACAGCTGAGTTTGAGAACTAGAACTGTTAAATGTAACAGTTTTTACTAATAGTTTTTGCTTGGGTCACTGTTGGATTGACTCTAGGTGTTTCTAACTGAATTAAGAATCTTCACCATGACAATACAAATCTTCATGTGTAACTGAAGATGGTAATACAAAGTAATTACTCTTTCCCTTGAATACAACTGTTGGTTTTGCAACAATAAGTGTTGGACCAATGTGTGTGTTTTTGTGAGAAAAAGACAAATAATGAGTGAGAGAAACATAAGGTATATATGGGAGACACTGGTCTCTGTGTTTCACACATGTTTTGACAGTTCGCAAGGTAATCCCTATTGTTGCTTCGCAAGTGTGGGAAGTCTGTGTGTGGTGAGGGGGTGGGGGGTTAACTCATAGATAAAACCTGTTGCTGGACAGACAAAGCCTCCTTCACAATGTATACATTTTCTTGGATGACAATGGAGATACATTTATTTGCATAGATGCCTCTACTTTGGGTTTTAAATGTGTGTATTCCATGCTAATCTTTGAATACATTGGATTTCTTTAAAAAGTATTTGTACTATACAATGGATCCAAGCAACAATTCAGTGACTGTTACGTTTTATTTACTCTGACTTGAGTAAAAATATTAGATTTCTGAGCAGCAAGTAAAACATTTAGAATTATATTAGTTAAAAAGAAGACATTTCCTGTACTTTCTGCAGTTTGTGAACTAGTTCTGTCACAGAAAGACCAGCAACATGCAGACATTCACATCCTCCACTCCATCTTCTTGTGTGGTTTGGAATTCAAACTCTGCTTGGAGGGCATATTTGGGCGTCTGGCCACCTCACCCACACCTCTTTAGAATCTCCCTGACACACTCACAACCACCAGTACACAGCACAACACACACACACACACACACACAATTGCTGAGACACTCTTTTCAAACCATGCTAAACCTTTAGGCCCAACAATACAGGCTGGACCTAATCTTATAGCCCTTGACCAATCAGAGGGCTGGCAACTGGAGAGTGGAATTGATTGGCCGGTGGCCACAGGGGCCAGTAAGGGGAAGGAGAACAAGGGGGGACAACCATTGTTGATTGACAACCATTGTTGATTGATTACCATGAGAGACACTTTTGTTAGCAACTTGAAGGCAGTACACTGTGCATGTGTCAAGAGGAAACGCTAGCAGTGCTAAATTAGGTCACCACTGAACTAATGTGGATACAAAATAAATCACTGAGATAGTGAGGTGTGCACAAGACAATCTCACCACACCTTCCGGAAAAAGTAAGGTCCACAGATTATTAGCTGTTAGTTATATTGATTAGCTGTGGTGCAAAGGTGAGCTTGGTGATTTCTACCCATGAATAACATAACAGAATGAGAGCAGGAGCAGAGTGATGGAAGAGAAGAAATGTAGTCCGTTAGCTTTGGCTATAAACTTATCAAACCAAAACAGTTCCTTATAAGCCATCAACGATGCTTTTAGTAATGGTGACGCTATTTTAGGGGTGACTTCAGCTCACTGCCATCTCATCTGTCCATTGCAGGTTATGAGAGCTGCTCCAAGAGAAGACAGCTTGTTTTTTCTACTGGCAGCTTTTCGATTCCCAGATAAATCACTCCACGGTGTCTGCAATACCCCAATGAGTCAACAGGGATCGGAGCTGTAGCTCAGGAAGATAAGGTTGAAACATGTTCAACTCCATTCTCATGGAAACATTTTTTTGCAGTAACCTTATTCACAATCCCCTGGATTTAGAAATAAGGCTGGTCAAGATAAACTATGTGGGTGCTTGGATAATGTGGAGGGTGTTATTGATGTTTCTGATATTGAACCACATTCTTATCTATTTGATTTCATCTTATTGAATTAGATTTTATAGACTGACTGCTGTTTCTGGAATTTTATCTTCTAAGCTCCGGGCGAAGAACAATACTGTCCCTGACTCTCATCCAAGTACACCTCTGACTGTTTGCAAAACACACACACACGTTCCTGGTCTCCTTGTTTGTACTGCCACATACAGATAATAATAATCAAGAAATCTGAAGAATGAATTACTTCATATCAAGTGTCAGCAGTATCCAGCCGCTGTATGATTCAGATTGTCTCCTAACAATCGTTCTAAATCATGATAAAATGTCAGCTTGCACCAGCAAACAAACACTTTTCTATCATTTGTATGAACCTGCATTTACAGACCATTCACATGAGCAAAAGCATTAAAGCGTGACCAGATCAAATGCAAGATTCAAGAACACCCTCCATGTGAGGCAGCGATCCCACATCCTGCTCTTTGAATCTGAATGTGAATTTGCTGCCAAGGCCAAGGCCCTCACAGTGTAAGTGGCACTGATAGAAAGAGACAGAGAGACAGCGTGCCTCTATTCACAGCTAACATACACATTAGCATAACTACCATAGCGCGGGTAACCCACCTAGCCACCTGTAGCTACACAACCCACACCAAGTAACCTCCATGGAACACTTTCCCACCCACTTTATTCCCACTCTTCCCCTGGATTCCTTGCACTTATATCTGTACTGGAGCGTGACTGTGTGTGTGTGAATGTATGTTTCTTCACTTGTAATGCCAGCAGAAGACCATTACGCCAGACTGTTTTGTGCAATAATTAAGTGAGCAGGCTTGAATGGCAAGCAGACATCAATTGTTATGTGGGGCATTGTGCAGCTCAATGAACCTCTGATGAGTACATGTAAGACAGCTAGAACGTTCATAAATAAAAACAGAATGAGTAAGAGGCTGACAATGTCTGCTATGAGTGTTGGTGGGTGTGTTTTGGACCAAAGAATCTTGTGCATATTAGAGAGATAAATCAACTAAAATTCTCTCTCTCACTCATGTTAACTTGTTGTAGAGGAGGGGTTTTGTTGAGAACAAGGGGTAGGAGGAGTGTTATGGGGAGAGCCTCCCCCAAGGCTGTGATTGGATGAGGCTGTTGTGACTGAGTGCAGGGGAGGCCAGTGGGAAGGTGAGTGGTCTGGGAGCTTGCTAGGGGGCAGGCAGCCGCAGAGAGCAGCTACCACTGCCTCTTAAAACCTAAGGTAGTCCTCATTACAGCTACAGACTGATAGACAGAGAGCAGAGCAGGGCTGAGACAGTTCCAAGAGAGGGAGAGGAAAGGAGAGAGTGAGAAATTGTGAACAGGGAAAGTTAGAAAACCAGCAGTCATACTTGAGTGCTCACCCTTCCTTGACTGCTGCCTCCCCACTGCACTACCTGAGGCTCACATACACACACACAGGGAGGTGTCCAGGGAGGCTTAGAGGGCTGACTCTCCAGGGAAGAAGGGAATTAAACACTTTGTTTTCAATCCACGGCGATCATACTAAGGACAAAAAAAAAAGGGATTACAGCTTGTACGCCTGCCCCACTTGTTCCTCTCTGCTCTGCATTTTATCTTCGTTTTGGAGACTTTGGATACAACCTTCTTCAATTGTTGGTTTGGGCTGAGAGAGAGATGGCACATGGACAAAAGAGCCCCAGGTGGGCATTAACCCAGGGCTTCTCCAGCTTGGCACTGGGCCTGTCGCTCTTCTCCCTCCTCTTCCTGCTCCTCACCGTCTCAGCCGCAGACGAGTACGACTATTACAGCTGGCAGTCGGACAACTTCCACAATGGCCGCTTCTACACCAAGCAGCCCCAGTGTGTGGACATACCAGCTGACCTGCGCCTGTGCCACAACGTGGGCTACAAGAAGATGAGGCTGCCCAACCTCCTGGACCACGAGACCATGCCAGAAGTCAAGCAGCAAGCGGGCAGCTGGGTGCCCCTCCTGGCCAAACGGTGCCATGCTGATACCCAGGTGTTCCTGTGCTCGCTGTTTGCACCTGTGTGCCTGGACAGACCCATCTATCCCTGCCGCTCGCTGTGTGAGGCCGTGAGGGACAGCTGTGCTCCGGTGATGGAGACCTATGGCTTCCCCTGGCCGGAGATGCTGACCTGTGATAAGTTCCCCATTGATAACGACCTCTGCATCCCCATGCAGTTCACTGGGAACCAGGCCACCCAGCCACCAGGTAGGGCAGCTATGTACACATACACCAACTCTAACACACACACACACACACACACACACACACACACACACACACACACACACACTCATTCAAGCATGCTCACAAAGAATTATCTACACACACAACAGTCCTCAATAGTTTCAGAAAGTGAATTTAATGCTTTCACAGCAGGTAAAATGTTAGCTTGTGATTTTTATCAGGTATGATACGTGGATTGAAGAAAGCAATATAAATACACACATTAACAAGTGATTTAAAAGGGTTAAACATGTAACAATTGTATTCAATTACTGCTGTAACATGACTTGCAGTTAGTCTCTATTGTAACTTCCAGAATTCCGACCGACAACATTTCTAAGACAGATGAGTGTTTAGGAGCCTGCAGAGTCAGAAATAGCGAGAGCCCGAAAACGGCTGTGAGGCTGACTGCGCTACAAGGATGACAGATGAAAGTTTCAGTGAGAGACTATGCAGAGTCTGGGAGGAGACGGGAGCAGCGGAAGGCTACAGGGGAAAGTTCTGAGTAAGTGGACGGTGGAGGCCGGCTTCTGTCATCTGCATACGCCTCAGGCCGGACACAGACAGGCTGAGAGAGAGAGACACGAGACAGAGACTCCGACAGCCAGATCGATCACCGAGTTAAGATGAATGGACTGTGATGTTATACACACTTTAGCTGAAAAGGTGACACACACTCCCATGCATACAGACACACACCTTTATCAGCAGACATCCAACGACAGCCAATCAATCAATCTAACCACTGATTGAATGGAGAATGTCTTATTTCAAAGCTGTGAGGCATGCAACTCACAAGCTGGTCTGCGGAGCGTCAATATGAGAAAAAATAACCCAAGATGAGGCCAAAATAAGAAGAGACTTTACTATACTAAGATTTGATTCACAAACAAATTGAAAAATATAAAAGATTTCACAGGAAACAAGAAAAAACCTGCATATGTGCCAATAGTGAGCTGGGAACGAAATAGAGAGAAAAGGGTGTGTGTATGTGTGTGTATGAACCACCACTACTCAAGCAGCCTATTCACAAAAGCAGTCGGAGCTGAGAGGCAGAGAGGGAGTTGATGAGAGTCTTTAGACAGTGGAGTGGGACAGTCCCCACTGTGTCCCAGCCTGCTAGGCCTTTGTTGGGTCTGGCAGCCAGCAGGCCAATTAGCTAGAAGGCCAATTACTGAGCTCCCACTAATTAGTGGACATGACAGGACAAGAGAGGCAGGCAGAGAATGGAAATGGCTTAAGTCTGATTGTCCCTGAGAGGGAGAATGGAGAGGAGTGAAAGGAGAGGGAAGCGGGAGAGTAAGGAGAGGCAGACAGAGTGTAGAATAGGAGAAAAGCTGCTTCCTGCAGCTCAAAAAGTGTCTACCTCTCTGCTTTCAATAAGGACTCAAAGGAAAACGATTTATTATTCTCATTATTTCACTTCTTGCCTTTAACCATTTATCACCTTTTATATCTACTTTGATTGACATCTTCCTGTATTTTTGTATCGTAAAAGTAGTTTCCTTAACTTGATGCATTATAGTGATTTTCTGAAGCGATACAAATGAAAGCAAATAATGCCAAAACATCATTTTAGTCTAGTAAATCATACGTTCGGTAACTTATCTTTGCTTTTTATCATGTATGTTTGCAGCAAGCCGATATCTAATTATCTACTCTGATAAAAAGTTTTATCTGGACCCTCATGAATTCATGCAGGGCTGACTTACTCCATTAGGGAAAATGGCTGTTCTGTTTTTGTAGGAGAAGTATCAACTATGTGACACTTTGGCTTTGCAGAGCCATAACTCATTCTCTTACATGCTCCCTGAGAAGAAGGCGTCTTAAACTTCATCTGTCACCTCCTGAAACAGGCAACTGTTTGTCGATCCTATCCAATCAAATAATGATCATTATAGATTTGCGTATAGATTACACAGAGATGGTGCGAGATCACTGCAAATATGGAAAGGGATCTTTGCTGTCAAGCATTTTAATGCATATATAAAAAAGATGTTGAATTAAATGTTTAAAGAATAGATACAAAAGGATAATATTAGTGTAGTTTAACAATTACATTTGATAGTGTGTTTGTGAGTGTGTGTTTGAAACTGAGAGTGAAACCATATCTCTTCTAGCCTAAAGGCTCACTCACATTTTTTTTAAGAAACAGAGATTCTCAGATGTGCCGATGAGGCCATCCCGAGGACAAACTGTACACACACACACACACACACACACACACACACACACACACACACACACACACACACACACACACACACACACACACACACACACACACACTACACACACACACACACACACACACACACACACACACACACACACACACACACACACACACACCACACACACACACACACACACCACACACACACACACACACACACACACACACACACACACACACACACACACACACACACACACACACACACACCACACACACACACACACACACACACACACACACACACACACACACACACACACACACACACACACACACACACACACACACACACACACACAGAGAGAGCCAGCAATAATAAAAAAGGAATTACAGCTAAGAATTGTTTCTAAGAGTGAGTTTTCTAGAAATGCTTAACGGACATGCTGATTCCCCTTACACAGGATCACATGAGGACTCTTGTGTTAATCCGGTTGAATCTTTGGGAGTTGGATTAATCACAGGAGTTAAGTGTTCTTATGCTGCTCTGCCTCTCCAGGAGGCCCTGATGTTATCGGAGCTATTCTGCAATTACATGATATAGCACGGTTCGAGGGCTCCTGTGGAAACTAACAGTACATAGTCAGATTCACTTTCCACCTTTCTGTCATAGCCAAAACTGAGAGGAACACCACCACCACCTGAGCTCAGGTTGTATCTGCGGATGATTTTTGGCATGTGTTTGTGTAACAGGGGCCCATGGGGTGTGATTATGTGAAACACAAGTCTGTAGGTATTATAGCAGCAAAGACAGGCAGACTGCTGACAGGAGGGCACAGACATCCAGGGAGAAAAAAGGCCAACTGATCTCAGTCTGTCGGGCAGAGGACAGTTATTGCCACCCATCAACTCCACCTTATTTAATGATGCTGCCTTTAGCCTCCGACAGCATCAGCAAATCAACAGGTGTGATAGGCGAAGGGAGAATTCTGCACCGGGTTTAAGTGCATAGGGTAAACTCCATAACTCAAATTGCACGTTTCCACAGAAATTGCTCTTCAAGACAATATGCACGTTGTCCAGTGAAAGTCGTTGAAATTGCATGGTGTGAAAGATATTGTCTGTCCTCGCCGTACTCATTGATGCGGCTAGTGTAAGTTACAACCGTGCTAAAGGAGACAGGCAGCACTGTCAGGTCCCCAGCAGCACAATGGGTGCTACTCATGTGGCCCTGGCTGCTATATGAAAAGGAAAATGTGATCCAATGCTCTGTGCATGGAAGACTGCCTCGGCCTTTTGAGAATGTATTTTCTCCTCTGTATAGGATTCCTACAGATGCAAGGAGCATGCTGTGTTTTAGAGGCCCCGGGGGCTGCCTGTGGGCCATATTTAAGTCCTCCTCTGTCCGTCTGCATGCCGCATTTAAACAGATGTTAGGACCTCCGACATAAATCACACGCTGCATTTCATCTCCGGCACAGTACCGTTTTATGTCATAAGTGTTGCTGCTCGTAACTTAAAGGGCCCAAATGAGGCATGAGATAGTGACCCGCACATACTTTAAATGGAACGTTATTCCCATAAAAGTGGCTGTGATGCTCTGGCTGCAGGGGATGAGGCAGAATACACGGCAGGGGATCGGATGACAATATTGTTAGATCTGATCATGTATGGTGGGAAGATATGTGTGTGTATGTTGGAGAGAAAGAGTCAAATTGAGAGGAAGCTTACTGTAACTAACATACAGGAGGCTATACAATTTATTTTATGCTATAGGAAATGTTGAAAACATAAAATGTGATTTACAGTGTTGGTATTTCAAAGAGACTCTTTGAGATGAATGAGAAGGATTCTTAAATGTTATGTTATGACAAATGGTGTGTCAAGATGTTTTTACTCTTTAAACTGTGTCCACACCTGAATTCTGCAGACATAGCTTTTCAACAGTGTGTTGGCCTTTTGTCCACACCAAGCTGCGTTTTAGGTCACTGAAAACAGATATTTACAGGAAATGTTATTAACTAAATTACAAGAAAATTAGCATTATTATATTATCATGGTTTTGTGTTGTTTTTGGAGGTCAAAGCGGTTCACTGTTTATGGGGCCTTCTATTCCAAAAGTATGTCATTATTTGATGTATGACTTTTCACATTAAGAAAAAGTTATATTTTTAAAATAAATATTAAGGTGGAATACAATTCAATGTGCAAGAGAGGAGAACAAAAACAGACACAGCAGTGGATGGAGACTGAAATGGAGAAAGTGAAGTTTTGCACTTAAATTACTGGCCTCTTGCCGTACGTCATTGCTACTCTGGCTTGCTGTTTGAAGATTACCAGCAGGCTTTCCAACAGACCACCTCCCTACTCGCCCTGCTCCCATCATCCTTTCCTCCTACCCAAAATCATTTACTCCCAACCTCTTCTGGAACATCAGCTCTGAGAGACAATATTATAACACTCGTCACTGGGAATGGAAATATTTAAGCTTGGGCAATGAAGTCTATAACCCAGCACGCAGCATGACGAAAAGCAGCACACAGACATAGTCACGTCCAAAGTCAACCAAGGCAAGAGCATACTTCTCGGATTCTCAATCACAAGGCGCAAAAATTCCTAAACTGCTTTGAGATGATGGCAAAATACATGAATGACCTACTGTCAAAATATTTGCTGAGTAGAAATTAGTCCAGGAAAAGAAATTCACGCAGCAGTGATTCCCATTAGAACATGACGGTGGTTCCCCCGACGGAGAGCAGAACGTGATGAGGGCAGTCGTCGCTTAATTGATTTCTCAGCGGCATCCAAATGGTGGTTTTCTGTCCAAGCTCAACTAAGTTTCATGGAAGGGCTGCTTTCTCCTGACACATGCTCTGGCATCCACGCGGCTGGGACTCCTGCCAACATACCACCCCTGTGAAACCAGAATGAATTACTGTGGAGTCTGAATAAGAAGTAACAGCTTCAAGGGAATCATTCAAAACAGACAAATCTAGAGTTTTGGCATCTATCAAAACGCGTGTGTGCGTGTGTTTCCGTGCTCTTGTCCCAGTCTTCATGTCAGCACCAGACAATTAAGAGGTCTGACCCTGTAGGTAGGTCCCGCCTGTGAATGCATGGGAAACCTCAGAGAAGGAAAAACTGGCAGATACTCTACAAGAACACGGTTCAACTCCCTCCATACGAGCGCTTACACACATCCATACACTCAGTGGTGGTTAGGGGGTTCACCTCCCCACGACCCTGAGCAGTGAAGCATGCTCAACTATGACCCCTCTCATTATCTGCCCAGACGCTGGGGTTTGGGCTGGGGTGATAACCTTTGAACCCTGACTTTTAACCCAGGGGTCGCTGCTGGACTGTGCTAGGATTATCCTGTGTGTGTTTGTAAGTGTGAGACACAGGAAAAAACAGGAAGGGGGGAGAAATCTCAACATATTTTGGATATTGCGGTGAGTGAGCAATAGAAAAATGTAACTCCCCTATAAACAGACTTTCCAAAAAAAGCCTGCTTATGATAATTGTCTGCCCTGTAGGTGTATGCATGTGGTGAGGGGAAGATTTCTACTCCACATCCTTCTCTCCCTGGCCATTTCTAATATTATAGCGTGTTCTCTCGATTGGCTCAAGGCTCTGTTTTGTGGATAAGTTGACTGATATTAGCTGTGTATAGCAACAACCAGCCCTACAAGGATTACATGGAGGTTATGTAGTAATTGTCATAATAATAGTTTCTATTGAAAATCCTTTGGAGAAAATTGCAAGGCAGTTTGAGGCATTTTATGTGAGTTTTGTGTGTCTGAGATTGAAGAAATTGAGGGCTTGGAACAGTGGCGTAACTATCGACCACTGGGGCCCAGAGCCGGCCAGGAGCTCATGCAAAAAAAAGAAGAAATTCTTTTTTATATAACAATATTTGCACCGGGGCCAATCACAACCTTCTTATGCCACTGGCTTGGAAGCAAGTTCTTGCGTGGCATTGGTGAGAATATATGATTAGGTCAACATGTCAGGATTATTTATCATATTTTAAAGCATATTCTGTCTATTTTCTGCTGTAGAAACAAACAGGATTTTGCTGTAAACAAACAAAAAGACTTAATGTAGGGCCTGTACTTCTCTCATAAGTTGCATGAGTGCACAATAACAACAATCAAGTTCTAAATCAAAGTTAGAGAAGCTAAACATGCTTTAGAGCAAAGCAGCCATGACCATACATTTCGAGATAAAAATAAACTGAAGTTGTTGCTTTGGTTTCCTCTTGCTGTTTCACAATGTGTGGTTGCTGTGTGGCCTAGGAGCTGGCTCTGTATACTGTATCACTTTTCACCGTGTTCAGCGGCTGCAGCAGCATTAGCAGCAGCGTTTACCTTCTGCACAGCCAAGCCCACGCCTGCACCACCAAAATATACAAGGGCCAGAATAAAAACATTTTGTGCGGTGTAATTGCAGAGCAAACATCAGTCAGCTTGCTGGACTGTGTATTCGCTCTGCAGCAAATAGCCTCTGACATGAGCAGGGGGGCTGCAAGTAAGTGCCTCAAAAGTGCTCAGGGCTTAACGATTTCATACCGACACAGCTTTCGTTTCACTTGCACTGACCTCAACTCAGTCCTTAGATATTAGCTAATCTAGCCTTAAAATTACTATATGAGATGTGTGTAGTTGCTAATGAAACATAATCTTTCTCTGTCCCCCTCAGTGTCAAAGGTGTGCCCGCCGTGTGACAATGAGATGAAAGCAGACAACATCATGGAGCATTACTGCGCCAGTGACTTTGGTAAGTACCATCAACTAAAGACTGAGAGCTGCTTGTGTGGTCACATACAGTAGACTAGAGAATACAGGAATAGGGTAGTTAAAAAAACGTCAGCAAATACTGACTGAATGCTGAAAATGAGCGTATATTGTAAATGATACTGCAACTTTCTCTCCTTTAAGTACCGAACGTAAGCTACAGGTTGATTTTGGCTTTTCATTTAAGTAAATTACACATCTACTTAAACACCAGTATTCTAATAATAACACATACAACTATTTATCAATATTAAAAAAGGTAACAAACAGTTCTTCAGTACTAAAATAAACCTTTGAAGAGCCTTCGTTTAAAAATAATTAAATGACACTGATACAATCAACACTTAAAGGTACCCTAATAGAGAACACAAGCATCATGTCATTACAAAGCCGTATTGTTCTGTGTATCAAAATGAAATAAATATATCCTTAAAAAATAACAATTGGGTTTCATTTTCTTTATATATTTATGTTTCAATCTCTCCTGATAAACCACATACACCATATGTTTGCAGGTGTTTGTAGAAAACCGTCAAAATGAGAACACCCATTCATTTTTTAACTATTCCCTCTGCTATCATAACCCCTCTTCTTCACATGAGTTGATACATTAATATAACAGATTCCAGTCCCTGATGTCCATGCAACGTCATTTTATCTTTCTACTTTCTCGCATTCCAGTTCCTCCACAGTAATGACCAGCACACAAAGCCAGAACATAATTATTCCATTATTTTTGCTCATGGAGGATTTTGGCTCATTGTACTCCACAGCGGCTGAATTTATGCTTGCATGGATTACTTCCCCAGCCTTTAGAGTTAATGATATACTGCTTTCTATTTCTCTGGTCATAAGATTCTGAGCGATGGACTGGAAATGGTGATGAAAAAACTCATAACCTTGGGAGACTGAAGAACATGAAGAACATGGCTTATGTTTCCCAACAGATTAGTGAGAGTAGAGTAATTAAAAATGAAACTGGGCCAGACTGGTATTTAGAAACAAAGTTCAGGTTTCACCCACACCTATGAAATGACCTTAATAGACACAACTCGATTATAAATTAATCAAAGCCTAAAAAATCACATCCAACCACTACATTTATGCGTGTGCTCATTACTGCAGCCAAAACAAACTGTAGGCTCATCCCCATCATTTATCATGACTACCGAATCACAGATTTATTTTTTCCTGATTGATTTCTGGATTAGATATCTCAATCTTCCATCATGAGGGTGTTTTTCATGGATAAGATTCTTTCTGTTGATTAAAATGAAATTGTTGTGAAAGCAGATAGCGAGCCAAAGACAGACATTTTATTGGCTATTAATATATGTGAGTGCATGAGGATGAGTAGAGAAGTCAAGATAGCCATGACGTATGGATCTGGAGATCAAGGCAAGAATGACTCCACAATGTTATTCTATAGGGCGATAGCAGATTGCAGCTTGATCTCATGCCTTATGAATGTTGTTGCCTATTCATCTTAAGAACAATGTTCGCCTTGGGAGGAGTTTATACTCCGCGTTTTATTACAGTCTACTTTTGATATCTGATCCCTCCACATTCCATGATGTACCATCCTGCAAACCAGTACAAATGACAAGCGTTAAAAAGAAAGAAAAGGGTGAGGGATGTGAGTCTGGCAGGGCACGAACATGAAACCAACGCCTGGTTGGAAGTGGAGGTTGCTCAACTTAGCTTCAGGAAAACCTGCGTCTGCTCAAAATGACAGAACACTTCTCACTCCTTCTTCCTCTATGGAAATGTGCTCACTTTAAAAAAAGGTATGTTTGTATAAATATGTGGGCACAGCTTGTCACTAGGATACTGGCCAGGTTGCAAAGTGAGCCAGCTGCATCACTTAATACTTATGAGTTGGCATTCAAAGTGAAGCAGGGAGTGAAATTATTTTATCTTTTCTATCTTTACTGAACACACATGTGAACATGAATGCATTCATTCACAAAATCATACACACACTGAGGCACGCAAACAAACACATGCCCTCAGTGAAAGAGCTGGATGTGAATTAGGATGCGGATGAAAGGCAACTCAACACACACATTCCTTTTTGAACATGCTATCGCTTCGCCTGTACTGTGTATACGTAACAGAGTGTACCGAGGGATGTTTATGCAGGCAAGAAGCAAAATGGCGATCTTCCAGCAGGCTTGGGTAGGGTACATACTGTAACGATGCTTCATACCGACCCGGTGCCTTTGCACGGCAAATGATTAATTTCACCTGTCAAATGTTCACCCAGAGAATTCCTCTTTCATGCTTGGCAGTTCAATTTTAATCTTACACATGGTAAGTCTATAAACATGAGACAGCAGGAGATAGGAGTTGGAACTTCATTAAGTTGATACACTGAAGTATGCAGTATTTAAACTCTGCATATTGTAAAAACAGAGTTGATCTGTGTTGTATATTTTGATTTATAATTACAGGACCGTGAGCACAATTTCTCAGTATGAGCATTAGAAAGAAAAACTGACTACAGAGTGAGTGTTACATAGAAAATGATAGACAAGCGAGTATGGACAACAAAGGATGATAACCTTGCAGAGCTTTAGACTTTGACTTTACCTTACTCTTGACCTGAACTTGATTGCAGAGAGTCTTGCCTCATTGAAATCTAACTTCCTAGAGATTTACCTTAAGTCTTGAAAGCAAAAACATGCAGGTCCCAATCTTTGACATGGTAAAATCAAGTAAAAAACTATTATCTTAACGTAATGAAGACTTGCAACTTAGACTTACTCTCAAGGGCTCAAGACTTGACATGAACTTGCTTCGTAAAAGGAGGTTGTAACTTGAAAAACATGTCTTCCTTTTCATTTATGAGTTTTCCCCAAGTTGGACACACACACAGGATGCACTTTTTATATGCTGCTGGAGAGTTTAAGTTATGATACTCAGGAGAGGTGTAAAATAGCTGCTTCTTTGGCGCAGCACAGGACTCAGTGCCGGTCTGCAGGAGGAAGAAATGTCACAGCTGCTCACAGTAGGAATTAACGTTTAAGTCAGAGTGACACATTAACAGTGTCGAGGTGTAAATATCTGTTTTATAGGATAAAATAAAGAGTTTAAATATGTCTATATCTTCTCCCTTAGCCCTCAAGATGAAAATCAAGGAGGTGAAGAAGGAAAAGGGCGACCGGAAGCTGATTGCAGCACAGAAGAAGAAGAAAGTGTTGAAGCAGGGCGTGCTAAGGAAAAAGGACCTGAAGAAGCTGACCCTGTACATCAAGAATGGAGCCAACTGCCCGTGCGCCCAGCTGGACAGCCTGAGCACCAACTTCCTCATCATGGGTCGCAAAGTGGACCAGCAACTGCTGCTCATGTCCATTCACAAGTGGGACAAGAAAAGCAAGGAGCTCAAATTCGCCATCAAGTACATGAAGTCCCATCAGTGTCCCACCTATCACACTGTCTTCCAGTGAGGCGGCTTGCAGCACAATCTACAATCACACATTTCACCCACATAGAATCTAATTCTGCGTTCCTGACCCCCAAATCCCTGGAAAATCTCTTAACAGTCTGACAAATAGTCCTACAAGAGGTCGTAGGGCAGCCAAGCTTTTATTTTCTCAGCTTTAACTTGAATCAGGTTGTCAAGGGGATCGTCCTGATCTGCTTAGATGATTCAGACATGTTAATGTTGGAGAGGGAAAAAGCTGCACACTCAGCAGCTCCAATCACATCATAAAAAACCCAAAGTAACCACAGATTGTATAATAATTTGGGTGATGTAATTTTATTTCCCAAGGAACAACAGACATTTTAGATCCCCTGTGATTCAATAAATATATTCCTTGACAATTCTACTTTCCTATTCCAATATAGAAGACAGAATATCCAACAGCAACTTAATCAAGAAAGCTGCATTCAAAAATGGAAAACGAAAGATTTGAGGCAACTATTGGAGGGAAAACATGTTCGATAATGTAATAAGTATAGACTAAGGGAGTTCAGTGGGAAGGCAGGGTTTGTTTCAGTGTAAAAATAGAACAATTATACACTACAGTACAAGGGGGCTGTGCAATTGGGCACAAAGCTCCCAGGAATAACATCAAAGCAGAGACATATAGATGATCAGCTAAACTGTGTTGTAATAATGTAAAAAGTAGGTAATTCAGACGAATACTAGATGATTAGAAATCGGGCTTTTTTTCTTTTATCCCTGCCGGGAAAGAAGACCAATGGAGCGAGGAAGACTGGCGGACTGGAGAATGCTTCCACTGACTTTGTAAAGCAACGCTCATGTGGCCTGAAAGAGGGAAACTTGAATATTCTTGCTTTTCAATTGGAGAGAGGATGAGGTTAAAGTAGAGAAGACATCTTCCTGAAAACAAGTGGTAAAGAAAGAGAGAGAAAGAGACTCTGGACAGAACCAACAATGTTGGGTTGATAAGTCTCTGGTACTGTTTTGTACTTTTTTTATTTTCTTCAGTTAAACTTCTATTGTATGAAGACAGGAATCATCCATACAGACATAGCACCTGAATTCACTGTTGCCGTAGCAATAAACATTTAACTATGACAATATTTTCTAATCAGTTAACCTGTAAGTAGTTATGTTACTGAAATACATCTTTGTTTTACAAAAAAAAAGTAAATGAATAAAATATATTTGAAATTTTTATAAAGAATATTCCTTTGACCTCATTTCTTTATCATTATGATTTAACCATGTGCTCATCCATGTTTCTTTGACTTCCTGAAATAATATTTGCACAAGAAAGTGCATACTTTGTGCATACTTTAGGTGCCCAGTAGCTTTCTTACTCTTTTTCTCTATTTTTTAAACAGCCATTTCTAAATCCAGCCAGTCAAAGTTAGAACATTAGAAAAACACACTTTTTCTTATAAGCAATTAATACGAATGAACATTTTAATTTACTTGAATAGGTTTCCATCTAGGTTTAGAACATTACATTGAGGGTACATAAGGACTGAGAGTGCAATAAGCCTGCCCCGCACCTTCATTTCTCATTTCCCAGGGAATAAAAAGGTTAAACCTCAGTTACGCTGTGTTCAATGCCAAAATCATCCAGATCCACACTGGGCACAGTTTTACAGAAAGCCAGGGCAATAAAAGCCCTGTGTTTTATTTTCAAAGAGTAAAGGGGTGACGCAGACGGACAGCAGGCTGCAATGTAACTGACCAACTTTATCAAAACCACCAAGACCCTAATCACTCCAGACGCTCACATACTGTAACTCAGTCAATGCAATTTTAAAATAGTTGGCATATAAGGGCTCCAAAATACAAGATGGATCAATTGTGACATTGTATGATTTTTGTCTTCCGCCCATATTTTCCGAAATGGGAAGACTTTTGGAGATGGCTCGAAGCGTGAACGCCAGAAGAGTAATGACCTATTTCCAGCTGATTGTGGAGATAGTATACACTTTGCCTGTAGACCGTGGAATGACAGAAAGGGAAAGGCATTACGGACACGTGTTGGACAGGTCCGCATTTATTGGAAACTTCTAAACTTCCAATTCTCTAAGAGCAATCAAAGACGATAAACACTGAGTTAAACATTTAAATTCCATACAGGTGGAGTAGTTTCTGTTGGAACATGCGGACCAGGGTTGAAACAGCTCTGTTGCAATAGATTATACACAGTTTAGTGAAAACGAAGAGCAGCTAAGACAAGATGTGGTAATTCAGTAGACTCAAGTGGAGGGAGACAAAAAAAAGGGAAGGTGAAAAAGGAGATTGGGGAGAATGTTGGCTGGGTCCCACAAGCACCCATCAGCACCTCCTCAAAGGTCACTGGAGTTAATAAGGGCCTGATGAGGGACCAGTGACATACATGTGGTAAAAAACACACACAAAAGACCCATCTTGGGAAAAATAGAACAACAGGCTCACATTGTCTCATCCCAATGAGAACTGATGTCAAACGAGCATCAGTTCCAATAAAAAAGTAGAACAAGTATAGAAAATAAGTGCAAAAAGAGCATCGCTACTATACACACACACACATTCAAAAGATGTAGAAGAATGGCCACATTGTTTTTATTGCAGTGCGCTGATAAGCATCACCTTTTTCACAGTTAAATAGTGGTTGTGGCTGTAACACACATACACCTCAACGGTCACTCATACTGTATCATACTCAGTAATGCATTATTATTTCATACCAACAATAAAACCAGTGGCTGTAAAATGTCGACCTCTTCCAGTAATCTCAAATAGTTGTATCAATGAGGTTTTATTTGATCTCAAAAGTGAAAAACAACAGATCCAATAATCTAATATTCCTTATTAGATTTAGTAACTTCACTCCATTTTCAGGATGGGCGGAGAGAGTCTGTAAAAAAACAACCTTTGATCAGAGCACAAGACATTTAAGGATAATGTTTATAACTGTATTATCTTTGGACAACACATTGTACATTGGCAACAATGTAGAAGGGCTATAACATACTGAAACTGTTACCAGTTCAATTACAATATTCAAGCCAGATTCAAATGATCATTGTATTACTTTGAGTTTCAGGAATTGGAATGATATATTTTTTTATCTTTTAACTTTAACATTAGTGCAGACAAACACACCAGTGAGCACATAGACACACACATGGTTATTCACACACTAATCAGATTTGACTACTTTGCCTCAACAGAAAGAGACCATTATATAATGTTCTGGAGGGTCCGAATCATTTCTATTAGTTACAGAATGTCTCTCTCTACCCACCACACAAGGTACCATTAAAACAGAATTAGATGGTAAGCCAACATCCTTCTGGTCTGAACCATGGGACCACCTGTCTACAGGAAGAGAGGACGGAGAGATTTACATTAATTTAGAAGAAGAGAGTGAGAGAGGGTGGAAACAGCAGAACATGGACAGAAGTACTGTACTGGCTCCGAGCCTTGGCCTGCCTTGCTCAGTTAAATGCATTAAAGATGTTGTGTTTCGTTGTGTGTGTGTGTGTTACCGTGTGTTTTTGTGTGAGTGTGCTTGCTGATGTGCTTGAGTGTGCCGTGTACACTCTTTTTAAAAGGCCCAGAGCAAGCCAGGGAATAATTTTCTCCCTATAATAAAGTCAGAGAAACTTTCTACATGTAGTACACACTCTTGCATCCGTACTCGTTTTAGCTAAAAAAAGTGATTTTCTCAGTACAGATGAATATGAATTCAAAAGTAAAGAGAATTATTGTAATTTCTTAACCAGCGCCAGGCATGGTTTCAACTATTTGACGATGATTGTGGAATATTAAATCACTGCTTTCTCCGAGTCAGAGGGATGATTTGCTCTGACACATGTTTGTGTCATTTAAACATTGTTGTTAGTTCATACAGAGGACTGAATTAGTGTGTCAAGCTTTCCCTAAATTCAACTAAATCTGGGCAAATGTATGCAATAACTATTGGTTAGAGCAATGGAATTCCTGTCTAATGCCTCATGGCTTTGTCTCATCTACATAAGACGTATGAAATTGTGAGAGTAGTAAAAGTGACAGCCAAATTGAAGCCTTTCCTCTTCTTTGCACTGATCAGTGTCCCATACTGACTCAGGGACAAAGACATTCAAAGCCTGTCAGTCTGTTGCCTGCCACCACACACACACACCACACCCACACACACACACACACACACACACACACACACACACACACACACAACACAACACACCACACACACACACCACACACACACACACACACACACACACACAACACACACACACACACACAAACACACACACACACACACACACACACACACACACACACACCACACACACACACACACACAACCACACACACACACACACACCACACACACACACACACCCACACACACACACACACACACACACACACCACACACACACACACACACACACACACACACACACACACACACACACACACACACACACACACACACACACACCACACACACAAAGAGGGCAGGGGGACAGAAGAGGCTAGAAGGAAAGAATGAAGGGGGAAAAGGGACTGGATAAGAAAACACCCGAGCTGCTCTCATGGGACTCTGGCTCTCGGAAACAATCACATTGGCCTCAGTGTCTCCTCTGCAGTGGAAAATGAATAAATTAATAGGTTGAGTAAGAGGCCTCCCATGGGCAGGGTCCTGAAGCCATCTGTGAAGGCCATCAGTGTGTCCCAAACCTGCTGTTTCCCTACTGAAGCAACATGTCAGTCTGGAGATTTACAGCCGCCCGGAAAGCACACACGCACGCCCGAGCAGTCACACACTTGCACACACAAACATCAAAGAGGACACACTCATAGGTGCAGCCAAATGTGCATCCATGTATATTTATACAGAGAGAGTGCCAGGATGCAAAGGCACAGACTAAACAAATATTGGCACAAACATACAGTGGAAACAGAAGTGCACTCTTCACACACACTCCCACGTGCACGGACAAACACTTGGCTGGTGCACAGATTTACACCCTTTTGGAAACACAGGCTAATAAATAAATCCTTTTCACTGGAGACCTGTTGACCTCTCTTTCTCACTTCTTGTCACACACACACAATGACAGAGGTCAAGGTCAGCCAGGGATGAGCGGAGGGTCAGAAGGAGGTGAAAGTGTGTTGCTGTGTGTGTTTGTGGGGGGGCATGCAGGCTGATAAAACTGTGCGAAGAGTCAAAGCCTCCCTCTTTGGCTGGGGGTTAGCAGCCGCCATGGTCAGCAGTGATCTGTGACCCAATCAGACCCCTAGGGACGAGGCGGTCTCGTCAGGTGGGACAGTGGCCACTAATTAGACATAATCTCCCATATCCTACTTGTCAGTGTCTTTTCAAACAGACCAGAATAATCAGCGTGACTCAGGGAGGCTGTCTTTGGGTGGCATTCTGCTTTTGTTAGGTGGAAATAGCCTCTGTGGCTTTGCTGGCTCTGCTATCAAGTGTTATCTGTTTGCAATAGAGAACTAACCACGATGGGCTCCAAAAGGACAAATGGATCCACTTTTTAGGGCTTGAAATTATTTTTAATAGAAGTGAAACTGTTGGTTAGGGTCTGACGCAATAATAATAATAATAATAGTGTATGCAGATTATCCTGCAGTGAGAAACTGTTGGAAACAAAAACGTTGGTCCCCTTCACAACTCTGGAACAAATGGCAAATGTTTTCCTCCGGAGGTTAGGTTATTTTCCACGAGATGTTTTTGTTTGTCTGTCTTTCAGCACGGATGCAGAAAAACTATACTTGCCAAATTGTCATGAAACTTGCTGGAATAGTGCGTCAGGAGCCAAGGTTGAACCCATTAAACAGGGGAGTGGAACCAAATCATTTAATCGGGGGAATAAATGATTAATTATTATTTTTTGATAACAATTCAAAATGTGTGCAGCCTTAGCTACCAACTTGGAAAAGTAAATGTAAACAGTAGAAAGGTTGTTGTTAGCGGATAATGCACTGTCAAGTTGTTGGGAACTTAAAAATTAACTAATTTAAGTTTGTTTTGGCCCAGTTATGTTTTAACCCACTAAGTGTTGCAGCACTTTACATCATAATGACAGAAAGGCTGGATTGACTTACGTGTTCGCTTCTTAAATCGGCCTTGTTGGGCATTACTTAAGCAGTCATAAAGCTCTTCTTAATGCTCTGCCTTCCTCCTCAGCACCTCTTGAGCCAAAGGACAAC